TACGCAATATCAGGAGTCAGGTATGTAAAAAGATTCCCAGTTATATGCACTTGTCTTTCTCTGTGTTTCCATAGAGTATGGCTGTAAATGATGTTCTGAAATGGGACAAGATGACAGAGGAACCACCTCAAACATGTAGATATTACATATACCGTAAGAACAATCTCCTTTCCATTACTGTAAGAGTTTAATATCATGTTTTTGAGAAATGAGCTATACCAGAAAACAAACTGTTAATAACAGGTTCTCCAGAGTTATTGCATGCCACCTACAAAGTTTGTGGAGGGATACTATAGAAACTATAAAATTGGGTGTCAACAGGAAAAAAAAATATCATGGCTATACATGACAATAAAAACTATCCTCAGATCTACAGGTTATCTTGTCTGCAAGAAATATAATTGAGCTGGTTTTAGCCAGGTATACCCTGTAGCTAAAGCCTATCCCATAATAACCTATTTTTTTAGCAAAACTTTTCATAATATTTAAATAGTAACTCCACTTTTGTTGAAAAAAAAGTCCCCTGAGCGATCAACTTACATTGCAAGTATTTTAACAAATGTTGTTGCAGATTCCTACCTGTTTCTAATCATTTGTATTTCACTATGTATAGTGAACCTGTCTGAAAGTGGCTTTGTCATTAATAATCAGCTGATGCGCCCTTGATCCATTCTTAGCAGTTATAATGCCCACCCACCCCACATATGGGTCAATGGCGGCATGAGGTTTATGTGCTGAGAAGGCAATATAGGCAATAGAAATCTTTATATCATCCACTTGATCATAGACTATTAAAATGGAGCTCCACCCAAAAGGGGAAGTTCTGCTTTAAGGACTGCTCTCCCGCTCTCCATTAAGGATTGGCACCTTTGGGGGGCAGGGGTGGGAGCGGGTACACAAATTTGACAGGTACCTGCTCCCACTTCCGATCCGATTGCCTAGGCGTTCGGAAGCAGAAGGTGTCTTCCCTCCCTGTAGTCTTTTGGGACACATGTCAAGTCCCAGAAAACTACAGGACCATTCATGAAGTGCAGCGCTATTTGCGCATGCGCAGTGGGTTCCCGGCTGTGAAGCTGCAAGCCGTCACAGCAGGGTGCCCACACTGATGATGCCGACCTCCTGGAATACAGGAAGGCCGGTGAAACGGGCTGCAGGGGACACACCACGGGACCGAGGGACAGGTAAGTGGCTATTTTTTAAAAGTCAGCAGCTACAGTTTTTGTAGATGCTGACTTTTATTTTTTGACAGGGTGAGTGGAACTCCGCTTTAAGCTTCATATTCTCATATCATATTCTGTGTTTCTTTAAGAGTCCTGAATAATAAACAATGTACAAAAAATAATGTCTCCTTCTTGCACCTTCACTGTGCCTTTTTGTGCCTATGCTACGATAATATGAAATTTGGAAACTGCTTTGCATATCACTTTAATGTTTCACATCAAGTTTGCACATTATGTCACAACATGAATATGTTGCTTTCACAGATATACGGTATATATTTTTTCACATGATATTTATAAAATGTTTTCATATATCTACAGTGAGGAACAGAAGTATTTGAACACCCTGCGAAGTTTTCCCACTTAGAAATCATGGAGGGGTCTGAAATTCACATTGTAGGTGCATTCCCAGTCTGAGAGACAGAATTAAAAAAAAATTCAGGAAATCACATTGTATGAATTTTAAAGAATTTATTTGTCTTGCACTGCTGAACATAAGTATTTGAACACCTGAGAAAATCAGTGTTAATATTTGGTACAGAAGACTTTGTTTGCAATTACAGAGGTCAAATGTTTCCTGTAGTTCTTGACCAGGTTTTCACACACTGCAACAGGGATTTTGGCCCACTCCTCCACACAGATCTCCTCTAAATCTGTCAGGTTTCAGGGCTGTCGCTGAGCAACACCGAGTTTCAGCTCCCTCCAAAGATGTTCTATTGGATTTAGGTCTGGAGACTGGCTAGGCCACTCCAGAACCTTGATATGCTTCTTACGGAGCCATTCCTTGGTTATCCTGGCTGTGTGCTTCGGGTCGTTGTCATGTTGGAAGACCCAGCCATGACCCATCTTCAATGCTCTGACTGAGGGAAGGAGGTTGTTACGCAAAATCTCACAATAAATGGCCCCATTCATCCTCTCCATAATACAGTGCAGTCGTCCTGTCCCCTTCGCAGAAAAGCACTCTCAAAGCATGATGTTACCACCTCCATGCTTCACAGTAGGGATGGTGTTCTTGGGATGCAACTCATCCTTCTTTTTCCTCCAAACGCGACGGGTGATCATCCAGATGGTCATTGGCAAACTTCAGACGGGCCTGGACATGTGATGACTTGAGAGGGGAACCTTCCATGCAATGCATGATTTGAAACCATGATGGCGTAGTGTTCTACCGACAGTGACCTTTGAAACTGTGGTCCCAGCTCTCTTCATGTCATTAACCAGCTCCTCCCTTGTAGTTCTGGGCTGATTCCTCACCTTTCTTATCATCAGTGATACCCCACGAGGTGAGATCTTGCATGGAGCCCCAGTCCGAGGGAGACTGACAGTCGTCTTTAGCCTCTTCCATTTTCTAACAATTGCTCCAACAGTTGATCTATTTTCACTAAGCTGCTTGGCAATTGTCCCATAGCCCTTTCCAGCCTTGTGGAGATCCACAATTTTGTCTCTGGTGTCTTTTGACAGCTCTTTGGTCTTGCCCATGGTAGTAGTTGGCGTCTGACTGACTGTGGGGTGGACATGTGTCTTTAAAGAGCTCAGACAGGTGCTACTAAGTTAGATTAATGAGTGGAGTAGAGGTGGACTTTTTAAAGGCACAGTAACAGGTCTTTGAGAGCCAGAATTCTTGCTGTTTCTTAGGTGTTCAAATACTTATGTTCAGCAGTGCAAGACAAATAAATTCTTTAAAAATCATACAATGTGATTTCCTGAATTTTGTTTTTAAATTCTGTCTCTCAGAGTGGGAATGCACCTACAATGTGAATTTCAGACCCCTCCATGATTTCTAAGTGGGAGAACTTGCAAAATCACAGGGTGTTCAAAAACTTCTGTTCCTCACTGTATATAACTGGACAGGGACACAGAAAAAGGATCCAGTGTTGTCCCTCGACTAGGAATATGACTGCAGACGGAAGCTACTACCATAAACCAACAAATTGCTGGGCGAGAGGTCCTGTCTCATCCTTAAGAATAGTATACTGTACCGCTGAATAATGTTGTCCCCTAAGTTGTCAGTAATCTTGCTGGTCATACTGCCAAGGGCCCAAGTCCTCTCTGTGACAGAGAGAACATGGAAGCGGGACACTGGGGTGCACAAAATGCTTATCTGGTGCAACAGACAAGCCATCTGTATGGATCTGTTCTAGTAAGTTAAACAAGTTTTTTTTATTTTTGGTAAGGTCGTTTCAGTGTTGAAGGGAGATGAGGCTTGAATTTCACCTCTATTATATCCCCTACTACTAAAAAATGTGCATCTGACTTTTATAATTCAAGGTCCATCCCTTCTGGTGAGTATTTATGAAGGTAGTGGTGGATAACATAACTGGAGCATCTTTGATGTGGATTTCCGAACACATGCAATTTTTCGGATAATTTGAATTGATCCATCTTCAATGACATTAATTGTGTGGTAAATAAAAAACAATTATGCAGGAAGATTGTGGACTTGGCAACATTGTTTATTATTTAAAGCACAGAATTATGTGGTTGGTTGTGTGTGGACATAATATGAATTCCACCTTTGACTTGGTAGACATCTTCCCAATGGCAGTACTGACCATCAGCTTTCTTACATGCAACATGTTATAAGACAGATACCTTCATCTATTCTACTCATGATGGACCACTTAACCAAGTTTGCTGAGGTAGTACTGACTCATGGGGTGGCATTGGATTACTACAGCTGTTTGCCTGTGTTAACAGAGCCACTCTGAACTTCACTCATAGGGATGCTGTTTATGAGGATACTCACAAGGAACTGTTTGTTTTCTGTAAATATTGGTGTTACTAATGTAGTGATTCGCAGCTAGACTCTCTGTTGTTATAGAGTCTTATAGAGACCATCTTCAAAAGCCACATGTAGCACCCTCCTTGCCACCTGCTAGGATGTGTATAGTTGGGTTAAGCATAGCTGTGTTTCTCTACTTACAATTCAGTGAGGTATTCTGCTTAACAGAGTGCTGTGCTTGATTAGTCAGATCTACTCATGATGCTCTGGTGTTGTTTGGGTTTGGCTGAGTTCTTCCCACCTTCAGGAAGCTATGAGAGACTGCCACAACATGTGTAAGGGCTAGGCAAATGAACAGCATGACTCCTAGATTGTATGCTCGAAAGAGCAGGGCCCTCGAAACCCTCGTGTTTTGCATTGTATTGTTATTGTACTGTCGCATGTTCTGTCCCCCTTTGTAATGTACAGCGCTGAGCAAACTATTGGCGCTTTATAAATACTGTATAATAATAAATAATAATATGGATACAGCCCTAGCCAATTTTAGGGGACGGTGGCTCCATTGCATGCTGGGAGTGGCATTTGTGTTCTGGAGCACATGGGTTCAAAGTCTTTCCCGGGAGTGGATTGCACCAAACCAGACTGGAGGCAGACTGCCTCACCTGGCACTTGCTACAATGCGGCCTCAGGTGATTCAACCTGAGGACTTGAAGTTAGAGAGAATGACCTGGTTCTACAGTAAGCTGACTGAGGGGAGCTGTCTGCCAAAGATCTTTCTGGTGCCACTGAGGAGAGTCACTTAGAGGATTGGAAGGAGGCAACCATTCTGTCCTGGGACTTGTGAGTACAGAGACTGAGGGATCTTGGGGACTCTGTGTGCTTAGCTACCCCTCTGGTGCTTGATAGTCAGCATGGGTCTGAGAAAAGAGAACACTGGGCTAGTGTTTGGAAGAGCTTGTCCAACATGTGCTACTGCAAAGGACTTTGCTCAGTTCTATTACTCCTGGACTGCTACAGTCTACTGTAACAGGCTTGTACCTGAGGAGCTCAGTCCTGCAACTACTACTACCAGGGGTGGACTGACCATTTGGAAACTCAGGCACTGCCTGAGGGCCCGGGGTCAGAAGGGGGCCCCATGAGATGCCCCGGTACCTTTTTTCATAGGCTTTTTTGAGTATGGGCAAGGACACGGGGCCCCATGATCCCCTATTGCCTGGGGGCCCCATGAGTTTTCAGTCCGCCCCAAACTACTACTAAAGGGACTTTGCTCACTCCTAAACTACTTGTTGCTACACTTTAAAGAGAAGTCTGCTATCTGCTTTCAGTCAGGGCTTCAGTACTGTTCAACTAAGAGATAAGTTCAGTCCTTAATGTAAATAGTTCTAATCTTGGAGTATCCTACTACAATTCCCTATCCCTATCCCCAGTTCTACAATAAAACTCCAGAAACAAACATTCCCTAGACTAGACATTGAAGACGCCTCCCTTTCAAGTCTGTGGTGATGCTCCTCAAACTCTTGGCAGGTGTTTTGCGAGGCGCTTGTGGGGTTTTAATACCATTAAATTCATTATAGGCGTTTGTGGTGCTGTTTTAATGCTTGGAAATGCCTATGAAACACCTCAAAAACACGCATAAGATGTTTGGGGAGCGTTAAAAACGCTCCTCAAATGCCTGCCTAATGCCTATCAAATGCTATAGGGGCGTTTGAGAAAAAGTCAAGTGTGAACAAGCCCTAAGGAACATTCTGTTGCATAAAGCCGGTCATAGATGGTTAGAATGTCCAGGGGCGGACTGACCATTTGGAAACTTGGGCACTGCCCGAGGGCCCAGGATCAGTAGGGAGCCCCATGAGATGCCCATGGTACATTTTTCATAGGCTTTTTTGAGTTTGGCCAAGGACACAGGGGCTCCATGATCCCCTATTGCCCGGGGGCCCCATAAGTTGTCAGTTCGCCCCTGAGAATGTCAGATTTTTTATGAGATTACTGCCAGCTGCTATAGGCGATAGCAATAACCACTGTGTTCTTCCAGCAGGGATGGCTCGCTCCACATCCCCCACCCCTACCGAACACAATAGCTCCACGGAAGGGAATCAAGTGATTTTTGTGGTTGCAAGAAAGAAAATCGCATCATCTATGGCCGGCTTTTATTCTCTTTTCAATCTCACAGGGCACAATTAATGTTTTTTAGGCTTAGAATTCAGTGTAGGCAACCCATACATATTACAAAGAAGTTTAAAGAAATAGGTGGTTTTGAGAAAAGTGTTCCCATATTCATCTAAGGTTGTTCATTCAACAGATCTTTCACAGCTTTTATAGCCTAGAAATTCTCATTTTGAAGATGAAGTCATTGTTGGGTTGTTTCTATGTTCTGTCAAAATACAGTGTTGGGTTAGCATGTCAATAAACGAGAAACTGACCCCTGGAAATGAAAATGTGTTTCCTCACTTTGTACACTTTCCTACTCAGGTGTGCTAGAAATGGATAATGAACACTTGAGGGAATATTTTGCACACAGCAGAAGAGTGTAATTTTGTTCTACATTAAATTTTTATACTTAAAGGAAAAAAAGTACTCAGTTGGGAAAAATAGCATTTTTTAAATTCGCAATATACATGTACAACAACGCTCCAACAGTAAAGCAGTTGGTACATAAATGTAAATCAAATGAACGTGTTTGGCTGTCCACTATTTTAAATGGATTGCATTTAGCAGAATTTATTGCGAGTTTGCAATATAGATCATTTTTGTATATGCTAAAATGCTGAAAACGTAAACACACTTCAAAATTTGAAATGCATACTCATTTAACCACTTCAAGTCCGGACACTTTCACCCCCTTCCTGTCCAGGCCAATTTTCAGCTTTCAGTGCTATCACACTTTGAATGACAATTGTGCAGTCATGCAACACTGTACCCACATGAATTTTTGAGCATTTTTTTGAGACAGATAAAACTTTATTTTGGTGGTATTTATTCACCACTGGGATTTTTATTTTCTTTTGCTATAAAATTGAAAAAGTCCAAACATTTAGAAAAAAAAAGTGTTTTTCTTATAAAATTTTGCAAATAAATAATCTTTCTTCATAAATCTTGGCCAAAATGTATTCAGCTATCATTTTAGTAAAAAAAAAAAAATAACCCAAATTAGTTTATAACCAAAAATTATTATTTTTCAAAAATTGTTTTACATTTTTATTTTTATTTTTTTATATTATTATTTAGGGTTTTTCTTTTAACATACTGTCGCCCTAGCAGTGCAGTGTCACCATAGTGACACTATACTACTTGTGGGGGGTGATGAAGATTTTTTTTTTACACTGATTGCTTTTACACCCATAACGGCTGTAAAAGCAATAATAACTCCTTCTCTCTGGCTGCATTTTGCAGCCATTGAGAAATACTGTGAGAGCTGTGATTGGTCACAGCTTGTCACATGGTACAAGGCTGTTGTGAATAGCTGTGTACCATGTGACCTCTGTGATCATTCACAGATTTTACTAGTAGTAAGCAATGATGTCAGGAAGTGACATCTTGCTTACTACTATTCATGTCATCACTGATTGGCTAATCAGTGATCACATGATCGGGACCTCACACAGAGGTCCCGTACAGTGATCGGTGTTCCGCTGTGTCCGGAGGGAACAGCAGGCACCAGATCGTGGTGCCACGCGCTCCTAGGGAGCACACACAAGCAGGGTGCGGGGAGGACGTTTAGAAATGGCCACCCACTCCTGCACTGCTCCCGTCCGGCCTTTTATATACATGGGCTGGACGGGAAGTGGTGAAAGACCAAGTATCATGTATAAAAACATACAGTGGTTTGGTATCCATGTAAATAGGACAAACAAAATAATACGTTTAAAATAACCATTTGCAAAATGACTTGTATTTTCATAAATACCAAATTAACATGGATTTTTTTAAGCATGCCACCAAAAGATAGCTAAATCTGTGCTCCGAAAAACAATGTGATCAGTTAAATAATGAATCACAATCAAAATAGCAATATTTGCTCTGATCACAAGGGGGAAAGGACAACTATTGTGAAATGTGTTGCCTAATAAAGCATACATTAGTGCATTTTCAATTATTTTACTTTTATGTTTTTTTTCTGCATCAATTAATATTTTATTGTATGTATGGTTCTGCGAGAGGCATAATGGCAATCACATTATTGCACAGACAATAATGGCAATGGAGTAACCTGAATATCATAAGAGGAGAGAGGTTATGTACATTTTTGATAGGGGAGCTTCAGGCAAACATATTTCCTCAATAAATTGTTTTGCAACATAGGCTTTCTGTTTTACCTTTCTTTGCTGCTTTTTGTGGCCACTTTCATCATTACCTGGTCTTATGGTTTAGTCTACCCTACCTATCTTCTTAACCCACTCTCTACAGAGCTTGTTTGCCCAGAGAGGTGTTACTTACTCCTTAGAATAGATGCTCTTGCTTCATCTGTCCTAAACACCATGCATTCCGACTGCCTGGCCACTGAGGTTCCAGCTTTATTGGTGACTGTTTTTTTTTCAGCTGAGCAGAGCTTTTTTTTTTTTCTATGACCTCTGGACTGAGAGTAAGAAAATCAATAAGAATTCCATACTGAAATGCTTGTCATTAGTTCAACCCTTATAACATAAGTTTCCAAGTAAGGAAGTATTATACTTGCTATTGGGTAAATAACATAATTACATTTATGTAATTATGTAATTGCATCTTTTAACCAATAAAGAAGTATACTACTTCCTTATTGGGTTTATTATGTCATAATGATTGATGGACATAAGGAATCTGGTCCCACCAATAATAACACTAGGAAATCTCCTTTGATTTACTCATGTTTCCTGGAAAAAAAGGTTTTTAAAATAAAAAAAGGGCAAACCATATCGCTAATCTTTCAGGAGAACATTAGATTCTGCAGGAACTGCTTGCTATCAAAGCTGCTTGCATATCAAAGATGTGATCTTTCGGTTTATACAATTTAGAGTTGAAGCTGCAATCTACAGCAGGCGCAGAATGCTGATTTATGAAGACTATACATTTTTCTTCTGTCTGAATCTATATGACCTTAAGTGCATCTCCACTCACACCAGACAGTAGAATGGAATGAGTATAAGTAAAAAATAGCTTTATTTCCTTCTTTCTCTACTTGACACACAACTTCCTTTGGATGTAATTTCTAGGGAAGTCATGTAATGCAAGCTGATGGTTCCTAGGGTTTACTTTGGGGCTGTAGTCTGGTTAACCAGCAGAAATGTTGGCATATTATGCTCACGTGATTTTGAATTGAATACCATCCACCATGCGGTCTCCTAGTAATTTATATATTTTGTTATATCGCAACATATATTAAAACTGAATAATAATTCTAAATGTGTATTGTGGCCTTTGTACTAGGAAAGGATGACTGATAGTTAAGATTGCTGATTCTGATATAAATTTTTATAAATTGCATTTCAATTTTCAATCAACTCTCTTGTTGCTCCCACGTGAAAGTCAAAAATGGTGTTTGGTATTTGTAAACCAAAACTACACCGTGTTCCAAATTATTATGCAAATTATATTTTTCTCATTTACCTAAATAATTGATGTAAATAACAGTCAGCATAATTCTCATGTTATCAACTATTAAGAGTACAATTCACATTTTATTGAACAAACCTCCTAATGATAACAGTATTTTTTTTAAACATAAAAAACTTACAATGCACTGTTCCAAATTATTACGCACAGTAAGTTTCAAAACACTTTATAGGTTGTAAAGATCTGAAAATTGTCATTTGTTGTGTTTGCAGCATATTTACTGAAATCAAAAGCTATTTCAATCAAACTTTAACAACATTTTAACTTTTTAAACATTTTAACAGGTCACATTACATTGTAACATAGGACCCCTTATTTGATAGCAGCTTCACAAGTCTTGCATCCATTGAACTTGTGAGTTTTTGGACAGTTTCTGCTTGAATTTGTTTGCAAGATGTCAGAATAGCCTCCCAGAGCTGATGTTTGGATGTAAACTGCCTCCCACCCTCATAGATCTTTTGCTTGAGGATGCTCCAAAGGTTCTCAATAGGATTGAGGTCAGGGGAGGATGGAGGCCACACCATGACTTTCTCTCCTTTTATCCCCATAACAGCCATTGATGCAGAGGTATTATTTGCAGCATGAGATGGTGCATTGTCATACATGAAGATGATTTTATTATGGAACGCATAGTTCTTCCTTCTGTACCAGGGAAAAAAGTGGTCAGTCATAAACTCCACATACTTTGCAGAGATCATCTTTACACCTTCAGGGCCCCTAAAGGGGCTGACCAGCTCTGTTCCCATGATTCCGGCCCAAAACATGACTCCAGCACCGCCTTGCTGACGTTGCAGCCTTGTTGGAACAGGGTGGCCGTCCACCAACCATCCACTACTCCATCCATCTGGACCATCCAGGGTTGCATGGCACTCATCAGTGAACAGGACTGTTTGAAAATTAGTCTTCATGTATTTTTCTGCCCAATGCAGCCGTTTCTGCTTGTGAGCATTGGTTAGTGGTGGCCGAATAGAAGGTTTATGCACAGTTGCAAGACTCTGGAGGACTCTACACCTTGATGTCCGTGGGACTCCAGAGGCACCAGCAGCTTCAAATATCTGTTTGCTGCTATGTAATGGTATTTTAGCAGCTGCTCTCTTGATCCGATGCATGGATCTGGCAGAAATCTTCCTCAATGTGCCTTTATCTGCACAAACCCGTCTGTGCTCTGAATCAGCCACAAATCTCTTAATAGTGCGATGATCACGCTTACGTTTTCGTGAAATATCTAATGTTTTCATACCTCGTCCAAGGCATTGAACTATTTCACTCTTTTCGGCATCAGAGAGATCCTTTTTCTTCCCCATATTGCTTGAAAATGGTGCTCTGCTTAATAATGTGGAACACTCTCCTTTAGTAGTCTTTCCTTAAATTGGGCTCGCCGGCCAATCTAATTATCACAGGTGTCCGAGATTGTTTTCAGTGATCAAAAGAGCCCTGACACACAATGCCATCCA